TTTTTAAACCCTTATTGATCCATAAACCATGTTACATGAAAGTTTATATTAATTAATTAATTACAGTTAGTTAATACCGGAGCAGGATACATTTCAGGAGATATAGAATAATACAAAACTGAATTGTGACAATTGTAAATTCAAATTGTCTCACGACTCACCTAAATCCAACCGATGTGCAACGTATGAGTGCAAAAATGTCACGAAAGAAGTCATTATACTATATCTCCACTTATGCAAGCCATGTCAGACCAAATTGTCAAATCCTTAGAAAGGTCTAATTTCTAAAATTTTGATATTTAAAGAATTTAATTCAAGATGCCAGATAGATCTTAGACACGCAAAGAAACCCTGACGACATGTACAAGTTTATAGTCAATTATCAGGATCATTTAACCAAGTTTATATTATTGCGACCTCTGAAAAACAAAATAGCACAAGTTGCCTACCAGCTACTTGATATCTCCACCACTACAGGTGCTGCAAGTATTATTCTATCAGATAATGGGAGAAAATTTGCAAACCAAGTTATAAATGAACTAAAGAACATGTGGTCTGAACTGAAACGGATACACTGAAAACCAAGTTTCCGTTCAACGTGTCAACCAGGACGTTCAGAATATGATGACGACATGGATGCAGACATATAATGGGTTGTTCGGAAAGTAAGTTCGTTTTTTTCCGTGGAAAAAACAATAGTTTTATAATATATAATTCAATAAAATATTTATTTATCAACCATTTTGGTCAAATACCTGTTGTCATCGTTTCTGGTAGTAGCATGATTTCACATTCATAAAAGTTTTGATCGTTGCTTACAAAAAACTGATCCAAGTGATTTTTGACATTGTCATTTCAAGTAAATGTCGTACAGTTAAAAAAAATTTGTATAGACAAGAACAAGTAATAATCTGAGTGTGCTTGATCTGGCGAATATGGATGGTGTGATAGTACGTCCCATCTAAGTTATAACAGTTTCTGACGAGTTACCAAACTTGTGTGAAATTTGACATTATCGTGGTAAAACACTACATCTGTTTTGTTGATCAATTCTGGCCTTTTCTGTTTGATGATATTACTCAATTTGTTTACTCGATGGCAGTACACTTTCGAATCAATTGTTAAATTGTCTGGTAAAAGCTCCAAAAACAAAATTTCCTTAAACTCCCACCAAAGAGAGCATCTCCCTTTAAGAACATGTGGAACCCATATATCAAACTTTGAAATGAAACCAATTTGTTTCAAGTAATCATAAACAGTTCAATTTGACAAATTTAATCTCTTTGTGATTTCACGTGTTGTTATTCGACAGTTTGCTTCAATCAGTACCTTTTATTTTGTTTTCATTGGCTTCAACTGGCCATCCAGAACGTGGTGCGTCTTCAATATTGAAATTGCCAGAACGAAATTTTGTAAACCAGTTTTGACACTGTCTTTCTCTTAACACATCATCTCCATACATGTACCACAATTTTTTTCTTGCTTGAACAGCATTTTGATTTTTTGCTAATAAAAAAGCAAAATATGCCGAAAATGATGCTTTCGGTCTTCCATATTTGATGGGACACAAAAAATAAACAATTGCACAAAATCAAACAAAATTTTTTACAAATAAGCCTTAAAATGCTAGCTGTCAAATTAAATAATGATAATACGGTTTAGAATGAAAATGGCGGGAAAAATACGACTAATCCGTCTAGTGGTAAAAAAGCGAACTTACTTTCCGAACAACCTAATAGATTAACACATTGTGCTGAGGGTCTCTGATTTATTCAATTCATGAAAAATCGTTCTTTTCACCAAGACATTCAGCAGTCGCCATATGAGGCCATGTTTGGCTGCAAAGCAAAAGTGGGGCCGAGTACCATCGACAACTTCTGCCCAGAGAGGCTATCGATGACTTCGTTACAGACGAAGACCTTGAGAACGTTTGTTTGCTTGTTAAGTTATGGCATCGCAACACTTGGGCGATCTGCCTAGAGGAATGAATGCCTTCCGGGAGGTCTTTTAAGGGAAACTGGCCCCTATTTAGGCGTTACAGACGTGGAGAAAACCCGGAAAACTCCACGTGGCCAACCCGTCCGAGCGAGGCGCGAACTCATGACCGAACTCCCGGTGTTCAGGGTACAAAGACCGCTTGGCTACTGGTGGGCTAGCCTTGAGAACGTCGAACAAAAAATGCAGGATGCTATAAATGCAGGGATTGCCTCAGGAAATGAAGCTTCTGCCATGGTGGTGGAACCATCGTGGAAAGTCCAGACCTTACAATAACAATGCGAAAGGCCGGATAGCCGAGCTGTCAAGGTGGCAGCCTACCGCTCTGAGGGTCCAGGGATTGAATCCGGACGGGTCGGAAAATCCCCAGGAATTTTTCGGGGGGTGGTCTGACTAGATGGCAGTCCTCGTCCCTCACCATCCGCCGCATTGTGGGCCTGGCCGAACTCATAATGGGCTTGCTAAAAGAGGCCCTCTTAGTGCCCGCAGGACGGAAAGAGTTTTAAAAAATAACAACAATACGAAAATATTTCTGTGTAGTGTGTGAAAAAAGGTGTAGTTCAGCCCATTCTTGTGGATCCTGTGACCAATATATCTATGCAATTTGTGGAATAAGTAATGAAGCAGAAGAAGGATACGGAGGGATAATAAACAAGAAATCAGGAAGAAGAGGTCAGCAGCTCGTCAGTTTGTAAGCTCAACGTGCGAAGATGCTTAAGAATTCAGATGCAAAATTCCCACCAGCGAAAGTTGGAGATAATGTACCTATCAGTATACCAGCTATTGACAGGTCACGGTGATCCAAGAAGCGTTCCGGAAATGAGAGTTTTCCATTCTGCACCAGAATCTGCTGACACTGGAATCCGTGGGCATAGAAGAACCGTCTTCCCGATCACCGACAGGCGGCCAAGGCTACACTCGATGCAACTGCACGACTAAATGCGCAACAAATCGCTGCAAATGCAGAAATAACAAACTGTTGTGTATTTCGAAATGTCATAAAAGTTCATCTTGTTGTAACAAGTGATGACAGAGATTGATAATTTATAATTAATAATCAATTTATAGTATGAAACTATAATGTACTCGTGACTTTTTTCTTCCGAGCTTTGGCCGCTACATATAGATGATATCATTTATTTATTTTAACAATATTGCCAAAATATTACAGGCCGTTGAAAAGTGCATTATGTTTTTTGTGTGTTTAGCAGATAATCTATCCGATAAATACATATAATACATTTTTTGAATCGCTAGTTTATGATTAGATAACTTTTGAATAAAAGTTTAAGATGATAAATTTATTATTATTATTATTATAAAAATATTCCGAGATAAATATTATTGTAATTAATTTTTTAGTTTATAAATCTTGATTTAATAACAAGTAAAGTTTAGAAAAAAAATTAGTAAATATACAGTATAAATAATCCAAATAGAAGTGTTAATTTGGAAAAATGTCGATGACAGATTTTTTTGTATCGTGGTATCTGTACGAGATACCCTCATTAAATTTGACTATTAACATTAAGGAGCGAGGTTAGCTGTTAGATTCGCCCTCTTTCGCTCCCATTTTTGTTTTGGCATTTGTAAATAACGTCTCGTTTTCAGTAGTAAATAATTTTTAATACGTGTTTGGGTTAGTTAATTTAATAATCAAAATTACTCGTTCGTAACCTGGTAATTTGACATGGCTAGTAAACATCCCAAAAATTTCAAACAGGCTGAGAAATAACACGAATGATAAAAATGAAGTCGTCTTGTGAAAATATAAAAGCCACGACTGCCTGTCCTTACTTAACATCGTACAGTACGACTACATTTGTAATCATTTACAAATTATCGTTGTCGAATTTTCTTTATAAACGGTAAAACTGATTGTACGAGGTGGGAATTAAACGCCGGAGGTTGCAAACACCATCGAATTAGAATAATAGTCATCGAATTATATTTTGTTTTTATTCTTTAGCTTATGGTTCGGTTTGGTTTCGTTTCGTTTAACGTCGCAGTTTCTAAAAACCCATCGACGACTTTAAGTGACGAGTGACAGCATAGGCCTGATGTAATTCCGTTATATTCCTGGAAAATATGTAAATATTATGAAATGCAGAAAACAAATCCAAATGTTTAACTAAAAATAATATATATTATTGATATACTTTGTATTAATCATAGGAAACATATTTCTGATAATAAATCCGATGAGTGATAAATCAGTGTAATAACATCGGTGATAAAGAAGCATAATTCTATATTCTATATAGAATGTGGAAGAAATTTTATAGATAAGTCATCAAAAGATATTTAGTAATTAAAATTTGGAGTAGGACATTCATTAATGTCTTCTATGCTGTAAAATTAAATTAATTATGAAAATCAATTAGATGGGTGTACCAAAGATTGAATTAAAGGATAGTTTCGTGGTAATAATAATTTGTTTTTAGAAATTAATATGCCGGTATTATTAATATACGAACGAAATATGTCTGTCTATAAACAGATTTATATAATCAGGTAGAATATTTACAGAATATATTAATGTTTACCATTCTTTTCGATATGTAAAAACTTGTGATAGAAGACCATTCGATAGTAACTAGACATATAACTTTTCTACATTTTGATAACATTATACGATAAAGTTTAGATTCTACCGATTTGCTGGCTACCAGTACTTTATTATTCCAGTCACACACATACTCAAACACTATCTAATACATTGTATGTAATATATTATGCGTGTAAATAATCTTATATGCATTGTATACAATCTTCTTTCGAAAATAATCCGAAACTCTCACCGACGATGTAAATATTTACCGTAAATATTGCCGGAAGCCATTTCGTGGAACTAAGGTCATTTGTAAAAACATATTTATTTGTAAAGCGCAGAAAGATGCCAACCGTTTTGTCACACGGCCAATTATTGCAAAATTTCGCGAATATAATTATGTAGATATTACGGATAATTTTGAAAACTATATCGATCTTTTAATTCTTTGCAGATAGCCGCAGTTTGTGACTTTTTTTGTTATCTTCGCTACATTCAACAAGGTCTAGTAAAAAATGGAAGTGAGTATACAATTTTTAAGCTTTAGAATTACGTATACGTAACCCAAATATTTCGTATATATAACCGAAGTAGTTAGTTTAAGAACAGTTCTTTAACCTTACGTTTATTGGCTATTCCGGTAATTAATTATCCGTTTATTCTGTTAAGTTCTTTATATCATGGTTCATAAAGTAAAATGTGTCCCAACCACGCGCTTTCACCTCTCCGACGTTTTTAAATCGTATTATTAAGAAGAAATTAATATCAATTTTTAATTTGGGTCTTATATTCAGTGTGTGAATACATCCCGTGTCGAAACTGTTCAAAATTTGACAGCGTCTTGTAGAACATTACTGGGGAATGCCTCGAATTGGGTTAACAAAACAATGTCTCTTCTTTAATCCGAGGTGTTCACCGACTTCGGAAATGTCGAACAGATATTTTAAGTAGATATAAAATACAATCATATATTAAACAGGAGAATTTTGCCCCAGTGACCAAACAGGAGCATATCTTCCCACGCTCCCCGTCGTTTTTATTCCGGAAATCGAGCCTTTCGCCCATCTCTGGATATTTCCGATGGTTCGCACTTCTCTGGCTGCGGCAAGAGATCCCGTCCGATAGCGACGTGATTCCAATTGTATTCGTTGGTGGTCAAATTGTCTTCCATTTAAGTTATACGTGTTCTTTATTATGGAGACACACTCGCTCTGTGCGACGGATTGCCTAGTTGCCGACCACAGGATCGCTTGTATCGCTTGTCAAAAATTTTCTCTCTGTGAGACCTACCGAACTGTTGGCGAGGTGTTGAATCCGCTACACACTGTATATTTATAGCAATACGTATGGCTGTGTTTCAAATGAATAATGACTGGAACTTCTAAGAATTCCAGAAGTGGAAATTGATTACGAAGGACTCTAGACTTATCAAGAATTTGCGTTATTGAACGAGGCTCTGCACATTCGACTAAGTAAAGCTTGTTTTGCAAACGACACAAGTACAGAACTATAAGTTGCACGTATTTTTACATTTAAATTTCTGTTATTTGCATTTCTCCTCGGGAATTAATGAATTATATAAGCATTGTGTAGCAGTTTTATTTTGGAAAAGTTTATAGTTGTAGGTGAGACTACAAGTATAACAGTAATCGCAGTGTGTGGTAAACAGAACATTTCCAAGGTTTCAAGAGAAACGGAATTCACACGACCAAGTTCATGTCAACTCTCATTGTTAATATTAGTCTTCGTTGGAATCCATCAAGAATTGAATCGAATATTTTCAATGCTCTAATTAAGAATTGAGTACCTTCAGGATTCGAATCAGTTTACGGGAACAAACAACGAATGTAATAAGGTGGTAACACAGTGCTGCCAATTTGTCTCGTACGGAATAGTTAGCAGCTATCGAGTATTCGAGAACAACTTGATTATCTACCGTTGTTGGTAATTGGAATATAAAAATTCCTCGAAAAGTTAGATCACAGAACCTGGTCTATTACTGCAATGCGATTAGAATATCCGTGGCAGAACCAAATGCTAGTTCTTATTATCAAATTGACTCCTTTGCTGTCGTGTGCTCTGAAAAAGTCTCGAGAATAAAATGAGAATAGTGATAGCTGCTGTTTCACTACTTGGAGAGTAGCAAACTCTAGAGTGGCCATGTCCGAACCTTTCACTTAGTGACTCGCAGTTTGAATTTGGTTCGAATATCTGCGAGTACTCTCAGGCAGAGATGACATCTCATATGGAGCGTGAAGTGTACGATGATGAAATAAAGTAGCCATATTTTTGCCATCCAAGATGGGACGCTTTTCGTGTGTCTGACTCCACTTGCACCTCTCGACGGCCTTATATTGCTTCGCACGCTACAATTTACTCTTGTTGACTCGCGGACGGCGTAAAGTGGCCATGCAAGATAATCGGAAGGGAAACTCATTTTTTTCTATTTAGATCAGCATCTGCTTAAATCTTTATTAAGACGCTAATTTTTAAACCCTTATTGATCCATAAACCATGTTACATGAAAGTTTATATTAATTAATTAATTACAGTTAGTTAATACCGGAGCAGGATACATTTCAGGAGATATAGAATAATACAAAACTGAATTGTGACAATTGTAAATTCAAATTGTCTCACGACTCACCTAAATCCAACCGATGTGCAACGTATGATGATGGGTTCGGTTCTAAGTTTTCTGCTGGGACACAATTGCTGCAAAGTGTTTCACCGATAAGTGAATTTTTCGCATAAGGTCTGAGTGCAGTATGAGTGTTTCGTACATTTTCTCGCACGCGTTTCCAGTACCAGAAGTATCGTCAAGAACGTTACAACAATAAGTTGCGTTTCTCGCATTATTCAATGGGTGCGATAGATCCAGAGAGAAAGCCTCCAGATAGCAACTTCAGAGGTATCAGTCGAGCTGTATTGGGGCTTTTTTTTCTTTTGTACCCGCCAGTGGCCAAGTGGTCTTCGTACCCTGAACACCGGGAGTTCGGTTGTGGGTTCGCGCCTCGCTCGGGCGAACCCACGAAACTGGCCAAGTGGGGTTTTCCGGGTTTTCTCCACGTCTGTAATGCCTAAATAGGGGCCAGTTTCCCTTAAAAGGACCTCCCGGAAGGCATTCCCCTAGGCAGGTCGCCCAAGTGTTACGTTGCCATAACTTAAACATTTCTTTTAACTCTTTCCGCCATGTGGGCACTAAGAGGACCTTTTTGCATACCCATTATGGGTTCGGCCGGTTGGTGAGGGACGGGACCCGACATATCCGAACGGGCTACCCCCTAAAAATTCCTGGGGATCATTTGACCGTTAGGATTCGATCTCGAGTCCCCAGAGCGGTAGACTGCCACCGTAACCGCTCGGCCATCCGGCCGTCTGTATTGGGGTATTGTGCTGGACAGTTGGTTAACTTATAATACACACGAGCAATTCCATGGTTGAAACTGCTTAATCGGCTATCGATGCACCTTATACAATATACGCGCATCATCCAATCGGTGAATGGAGGGCGTCAAAAGCTGCTGCCGTCACGGAGGATACTCGTTATGTTACGCCCTATAGCGGGACTGCGTCTCGCCAAGCATTTGCGGGACGACGGTCACTCCTACATTTGAGCGTCGTGTTCCGCCTAAATCAGGGTGCACAGCCGTGCTATGGTAAAAAATTAAATTGGATTGATGGATTAAGGCAACGGGACCTAAAAGACACGTGAGGCGACTCATGGGTTAGGTGCGAATGCACAGCCAAACTACCAGTGTTTAGTGGTTTTATCCAATCGGCCATTGGTGGGGCTGTGCGAAATATGTACCGAAGACGTCCCGTGAAACGTCAAATTTAAGTGTTTTCGGACACACATTTTCTTATCTGATACCGTAAATATTAATCTCTATTGCGGTATCAGATAAATAACCAGTTAAATGAATCGAGAATTCAACTCGCATTCTGGAAATTTTCTAAATGTTAGGATCATCTATAAGCAGTTCGTTTATTATTGATGAAGCTAGATTTATTACGATTTTGTATATACTGCCTCAATACAACTTTCTCTGTTGAGGGCAGTTTTACGTTTAAAAACTACATAACAATTAAGAGCGCTTTACGTTAGTCCAATTTATCATGGGCCGAGTCGGTAGGGACTCACCCAAACAAGTAGACACAACTCGAGTTGTCGGAATTTCGCGCTGAACAGAACTAGAGAGAATAAAACAATTGTAGTGGAGCTCTCTCAAAAATTACTATCGTTCTCGGATGGTCACGTAGCTTGAGAAATGTTCGAAAAGCACACGTTCTCGGAAACGACGACGTTTTAGAATCAAATAGATCTCGATTCTTGCGTTCGACTCCAGTCTTCAGTTGGAATCACTCACCTTGGTAATACAGGTAACACTCGATACGTACGGGTTCGGTTAATGCGAGTCTCTCTCGAGGAAAGGTCTGCTTTTTCTCCCCACTCCAGCTCACCATTAGCATGAAAAAATGAACCTTAGCTTTCCTCGTTCAGTGCTCTTATTCGGATAATTTAAATCTGGTTGCAATTTGAAAAAAGTGGGAATTTATAGCTCTCCAGTAGTCCGTATGACTGTCTGTCCATCTCGAGAGCGGAGTTAAATAGATGAAAGAAAATCGAGACCAAATATGGAAAGCTTAGGGACAGGAGGCCCAGGTAACTATACTTACTTCCTAATTAGATCGAACTCAAGTCAAAAATTTCCCCGGATGGAGTTACACCGACTCTATTGTTATCGGGAAAATTATGACGTACTGTACAAGGAGAAGACACTACAAATTTGAGATGGAAAACATGTGTTTTAAATTGAGAATATGATTGTCACAATGTTGGGCTGCAATTTTTAATATCGCAGTAAATAATTACATTTACGTTCAATTCTTTTCCCGGACTCTACATTATCTGAAAATACAATTGAAAATAACGCAAGTTCCGACTTTATCGCTTTCAGTTGGATGGAATATCACTCGAAAACAGTCGAAACTAAGTTAACTTTTTTCCATTGTCGGGATTTTCATTTCTCGAGTGACGTCGGATCGACGGCAAACTACGAATGCCGATCTCGTCTCGCAAGTATGTCAAATTTTTTCGTTTTATCACTTTCAAATAATCTAACTGATATGTACAGAGAGATTACTTATGAAATATCTACTCTGTATAAAATACCTTTCTTAAAATCGTCACGAAATTTTTGAAGCCAGCGGAGTCGACTGGGTCGAATTCTATTACAAATAGACTATGTTAGGAACGAGTGAGCGAAGTCCTCTAGTATAACACAAAATAAATGCAACAAATTCTTTTCATTGATTTCAATTACTGTATTTGTTGAATCGGAAGTCACTACCCGCCAAGTAAAAACGTCACCGATATATAGGGAAATTGGAGTTACCGATTTTCCAGGGGTGGATTTCTCCGCCCCCAAACACCCGAAATAATTCCGAATATCTCGTTCGAAAGAAATTTTTTTCTTAAGTAGCGTGCAAAATTTCAAGATTTTCTATAAATCTTGAAGTTCTTATAAAGGCATGGCCGAAATATAAGAAATTAAAAGTGAAAGTGCAAAAATCAGCAAAAAGCTGTATTTTATTCTTTATTTGGCACTGCAGACGTTCTTAGGGAAAAAACTACCGGGCCTAGGAAACTCAAATTTTAAACTTACGCCTTTCTGGTTATCGGCCAGGTGCCGGTCAAAGTTCAATCAAAATTACCTTAGAGATCGATTAGAGAGTTTAATTTTTAGCCGAGCGAGTATAAATGTGAATATTACGATTTCGCACGATTTCTTAACGACCGAATTCGTTTATTTTCACGAGAATATTCGCGGACCCAATTAACCGCAGGTAACGACGGTTACCCGAAGTGAATTTAAAAGTAAAAATTAAGTGATTTTACCATAGAAATAAACGTAACCGTGTAGTGTATTATGTTTGGAGACGAGCGAGTGGGTGGTGCGTTATCCCATTGTAGTATGATAACAGGAATTCCGGTACTAGACAAAATGAAAGCTTAACTAAGCAGAATAACCACGGGATATTTCGTTTCTTCAATTTTAACCTCTGGAAATTTGCTTGGGCGAGAGAATCTGCGGGGGTTGTTATCGTTATTAAAATCCGTATTACGCTGCCAAGCAAGTAGCAGTCGGAAAGTATTTCGCAACAGACCGTAACGGTGTTTCTCCACTGCCGGCAAACCTATAAGTTGCTACTCTAACGACTAATTTAAAAAAAAAAAAAAAACTAAACGACAGACACTTGGATTCCGTAGTAAAAGAAGTGCACCGAATTGCCCGGCGATAAATCGTGTACGGTAGCCACCACCGGTAACGCGGGGACGTCCCATTATTTCGGTGAGGACACTAAAGAAAGGTCGACCCTGAACTTCTAGCACCCACCGCTATCGACGCTTTATCCCACCGATAACAGAGACTTATCGCCCCAACTACGGCGATAAAAAGAAAACAATAGCGGCGTAACTAAGGTCCTTATCGACGCCGCATTCGATTATACGTGACGAAATCGTCGCCCGTTTGGCCGTGGCGCCACTCCCTCCGAAATTCGGTTTACCGTAGCCATGCCACTAGCGTTGCGATTATCAGTCACAAGACGTGGATTAAACCACATCTTCCTCCTCTCTCTTCTGAAATGTTTTGTTTTAGCGGCGGGCCATTCATTCCCTTTGCCGGATTTCGGGTATTAAAACGCGTAGTGAGATTGCGCCGAAGGCTGATGGTTTGTTTTTCCCTTTCAGTTCACGAGGTGTATTGGGAGGTGACCAGGAGACGCCGAGACATGGCCGTGGCCAAACTGGGACTGCGCGCCGCCTGAAGAGCCGTCGAGTGTAGAGAATAAAGAGGCCGTTGCTACGAGACTGGAGAGTTTTATTGACGCGGTATTTACAGGGGAGGACCTCATAAATAAAGGGACGGAAGTTAATAAATAGGGAGGCGCGGACCGGGTCTTCACGGCTACAGCTGGTCCGCAGTCAGACCGGACAGTTCCGTTCCTTGCAGTTCCTCGGGCGAATTGCAGGTGCCTTCCAGGCGATCCCTCCTCGGATCTTCGTACAGCCACTTGATGTTTCCATCGCATACCACCGGGTTGTCTGTCCGTAAAGAAAACACTGTCAGTTCGTCTCAAAACGCGATCCGAGTCCACACGAAACTACGCGTTTCCTCGCCGCTGTTTTCACGCGCCGGGATCGGCCCCCCAGAATGGAGACTACGAAACCGTCTCCGCGTCCCGGCGGCACCGAATTTCCGGAAGTTCCTCTTAGCGGGGAAGGAAATGTCCCCGCTCGTCGGACCGGTAAACGAAACTTCCGCTGAATACCCAAGTTTCGTTTTATTCAGAAACCGAACGCCGAAAATCGCCTCCACTTTAGCCTCGGTCCGGCGTCCGGGAGGATTTGGGCCTCCCGGTCGACGGCGTTATCGTCCCTCTTATCCCAATTTGCAAAGCCCGACCTCACCTTTCAGCAGCAGGTGATCCAGCATAGTCCACACCACTTTCCACGTGTTCTGGGGCAGGGACTCGAATCGGTTTCCCGACAGCACCACTCTCTTCAGATGGGGCATGTCGTGGAAGAAGTCTTCCGGCAGGGAATTCAGTCTGTTGTAGCTGAGGAAGGAAACAAACGTCAGCGGGGGGAGTTCGGATCCGCGCGCCGAAAGCCGAAGGCATCTCACCTGAGGTCTAGCCACTTGAGTTTGGAAGCCGGTCGGGGCAGGATGCCCCTGTTCACGTCCTGCAGGCGGTTGTCGGCCAGGGACAGTTTCTGCAGTTGGGTCAGGCCCCGGAAGGCCCCCTCTTCCACCGAGGTTATCTCGTCGTGGTCCAGCCGCAGGTTCTTGATCTTGTCAGGACCCCGACCGAACCAGTCGCCGGAGACGGTTTCCAAGTGGACGAACTGGACGTTGAACTCGGACAGGTGCAGCAGGTGGGTGAGGTTGGTGCGGGCCAACCCCCCGCCCCCTACGTTGCAGTTCATCAGGTCCAGCTGAGTCAGGGAGGCCTCCAGGCCGGAGAAGGGCAGGTCCCGGTCTCGGAAGGAGAAGACAGAGTCCACCAGATGCAGGTTGTTGACGTTCATCCCGCGAAAGACGTCGGAGGGAAGGGGGTCGGCCGTCCGCAGGCCCCTAAAGAGCAGAGTGGCCACCCTGTAGTTGACCAGAATGTTGAAGACGTCTCGCAGGGTGTCTGTGGAGTTGACGTTGGAGCAGACCACGTGCGTCCCGACGAAGAGGGTTTTACACGAGCAGGAAGGCTGAATGAATTCGGAGTTGGGGCAGTCGGCCAGCGCCCCGCCGACCAAGAAGAGCGCCAACGTCCAGCGAATCAACATGTCAGAGAGAAGAGCGTCGCGCGTATGCCGCCGCCTCCTCCGCCCGCCGCTTATAAAAGGCGGCGCGGGTGACGTGGGCGACCGGGGCGCCCTCGACGCCGGAGATAGCGGAGATCGCGCCCGTGGCGCCACCGACCGGGATTCGGCGCGTCCGACGGCGGGAGGCGAGGCGGTAGGACCAAGAGAGTAAATAGACGACGAGGTCGCGACTCGACCTCCGATGACGTCGGCGGAGGTCGCGGGTCGTCGAAACCAAGAGTAAACAGCGAGAAGGCGGCGCGTTGTTCCCACGCTCCCGGCCCGGGTCCGGACGGTGGAGAAGAGACGTGGCGGAGAGTGAGGCGCGAGTGTGGACGGCGGCGCGCGGCGGGCGTCGGGGGTGGCGGATCGGGAGCCCCCGGCGCTCGGGCGGGAGAGTCAGCCTTTCGGGGTCGGCGTCTGATCGTTTATTGTTTCGTCAAAGAAACGTTACATGGTCCTCGACCTACGTACACACTAGAGGAATTTTACCGGGGCGACCGCCCCCAGCTACGGCGACTTCCGGCGGCGGCTGGACGGCCGCGGTTCCTGAAAAGAGAGGAGCGGAGTCAGAGGCGAGCGGAAGCGGCGGAAAGAGGGAGTCTTACCTATTTTCAGTCGGCGGCCGGGCGCACAGGACCAGAGCCACGGAGGAAGGCCGGGTTTCCGTTTCGATCCAGCATGTAGGGTCCCTGATAGTATCTCCATAGGATGCTGGAACCTCTCTTCAGCTGGCCCTGAAAAACACCGAAGTTACCCTTTGGGAGAGAATGTCCGGCGTCGACCTTCCGATTAAGGACGATCGCACCGGAAAGTGTTTACGACCGACGACCTCGAGGCGTAAGGAGAATAGTCTGTTTACAAACGCGACTGTCGACAAACAACGCGCGACCGAGGGGGGAGAAGCAAAGACGACGTAACGGGCGACCTCGGAGGGTCATTCGATACTCGGAGGTCGACTGTTTCTTTCGTAACTGGCTTTGGCCTCGTCCGGAAACGTGCCGGGAGTCACGCGCTTTTCGGAGGTAGTTTCGGACCGAAGATGGGAATTGCCGTGGCAGCCGCAAAAGTAGATGCGAGAGAGACCACGCCGACCGTTTATTGGAAAAGACGAAACACGGTGGGAATTCGGTCTTTTCGCAGGTTAAACGGGAACGAGGTAAATATTTTTGCTCTCCCGTTCGTCGGCTCCGCCAATAAGAATTGCTTCCCCCGGGCCAGGAACGGAAGCGTTGGGAGTTGGACCGAAGGCTCGGAAATAAGAAAATAAGTCCCTTACTTCGGCCCTCCTTTGCCTAACAATTACATGGCCACGCGCTGCGTGGTAGGACACGGGCCGAAAGCACCGACGAATTTTATTACTTTTCGGCCGCGTAATTAATAACGAGTAAACATTTATAGTTTCCTTCGGATTTTTTTTGGTCTTTCGCGCCTCCTCGTAAACGCGGTCGAATTAACCGGAAGATCGGACATCGGCTCGCCTTTCCACTTCCGCCCTCCCTCTCAACACGAAGGTAATTCTGGTAAAAATCTTCGGGTGTCGAATTTACGGCGCTTTTCGTTTATCTCTTATCTATCTTAAGATCTTTCTTAATAAATTGTAGCGAGAAAATCGTGAAGCCGTAAGGGTGCGACTATGCAGACGCGAATTTAGAGCGAGGATTTAGTTTTCGCAAAGGAAAACCATACACAAACGAGAAGCGAGTAATAACGCTATCGAGAGCGAATTTCTGGTTCTCGCACATATCTGAAAGGTTTCGATATTTATCGCGTCTCGCCTCTTCTCGCCACATATTCTCGCTCGCTCGCGTCTGCAAAGTCGCACTCTAACCCGATGGTAATGCAAATTTAATTACGTTTTAATAAATTTCGCCGTTTCTTATTCGTCTATTTACATAATGTAATTAGTTTAAACCACAAGTTCCCGACTTATTTATATCAGGGAACCCTTTTCGCCTTAATAAAAATGTTGAAACCCTGCAGGTATCGTTACCGAGCAGCCACTTTACAGCAAAATCGAAACACAAAGTAAAACTACAATTACAAATATACTCGAAATTTAATTAGAAATGAAATGGAATCTATTGAAAATTAAAACGACGCTGTTTTGAAATTTTCAAATTTATTTTTAGATTTACGTTATTTGTGTGCGGTGGTGGCAGAACATTTTGCTTTTAACACACGTACAGATTTAACGACTGTGTTTTTATTTATATACGTTGGATCCTCTTTAAGGTTATGTTGTTTTCAATCACTTTATAGCTTCGGTTTATGTTTTACGCCCTGTCAAACATTATATCTTGATTTCGGTTCGTTCCGTTACCGATAAATCGGTTGTTTATAAAGCTATAAATAACTTTAGCACGCGTATAGTATCGGATCGAGTTCTCGTATCGTCCGTCCGAGGACTCGATCCGACCCCGCGCCTCCTAAATCTGCATCGCTAGGTTTAACGATTTCGCGGAACCCCAAATTTTTGTTGGAAATTATTTGGATAAAGAATTTAGGCGGAAAGACGAGCAACCAACAGTTTTGCCGCTAGGTGCGTACGTACGGAAGAATTTCGTTAATCGTTAAAGCCGACTGCGGTCCCGTTTACCCGGTCCACCACGTTTTCGCATTTATCCGAAAGAGAAAGCGTAACAATAAGCAAGAAAAATGCCGGTAGAAAATAACGCTACAGCGTTTCCGAAACGACCAGTGTAAATTACAAACATTCGACCGTCGCATCATCGGCCGCGTAGCCAGTTCGTTGTTGTTGGTTAAGTTATGGCAACGCAACACTTGGGCGATCTTCCTAAGGGGATGACTTCCGGGAGGTCTTTTTAAAGGAAACTTGCCACTATTTAGGCGTTAAAGACGTGGAGAAAACCCGGAAAACTCCACGTGGCCAGCCCGTCCGTGCGAGGCGCGAACCAACGACCGAACTCCCAGTGTTCAGGGTACGAAGACCGCTCGGCTACTGGTGGGTCAACCAGTTCGTTAGCATATTTTATTTATAATAATATAAAAAGTTATTTTTTAAATAAAATCCGGGAAAGTTAAGCAACTCGCTGCTGGATTTTTTTAATCCATTTAACAATATTCATACGAGGAATATTGTTAAATGTATATCCGTGGAAATTTTTGAAGCATTTTACAACCCTATTTCACGCCCGACAGATAAGACCACCCATATTTTTTGTTTTTCCTCTATCCGATGATGTTTTATTAAAATGTAACATGACACGAAAAATCCTCCCTTCTTATCCTCGTAATTAGTATCATAATTAATACTATAACAGAAAATAACTTACAATTGCGCTGAGATGAGACCAGCAGTCGGTCCAATTTGCATATATAGGCATGTTTGGAGGTACTCCGGCAGCTAATCTATTAATGCACAAAAAATGAATACTTGTACTTGCATAGTGTATTCGATTCAGATACTCGGACACAGAGATACACGAAAATATACTTACCCGCAATTATTAACGGCTAAAACGTTACCAACGACATTAAATGGATACATCAAAGAACTCGCGATGAACTAAAACAAAATATTTTGAAATTAAAACGTAATTTATTATTTTAAAATACAAATTTTAATATAAAACTTACCGAAACGGAAGCTTTTATGTAACTGTTTATACTTTGCTGAAAAAGTTCAGAAAACTAAAATGCTTTTAATTAATTATAATAATAAAGTCTTATAAATAATATATCTTTTATCTTTAATATGTGTCAAAATAAAACACAGTACACCCTCGTTATATCGCATTTTTATTTGATCTCCCAAATGTTCGAAGCATTCCAGTCAATAAATTTTAAATTACCGATTGCCATTGAATTTCTTTTTTGTAACGAAATACGGTGTTTTATTCCTACCATTTGCCCTGCAAATTACCACTGCAGGTGAAACAAATAATTCGTCACTGTATTTATAATTTCTATTGAAAAATATAAATTACACGAATTTTTAATAAGAGATTTATTACGAAATATAGCCTAATACTGTATAATAAAAACGCAACTGATATTTTGTTTTTATATCGACAGTGTTTGTTTGTCTTTAAATGTCATTGTTAAAGAAACAATACCTGTAGTGCTAAATGGACGTTGGTGGCATCGATGTTTACGTAAACATAATCTAATACGATGTAATCATGAATAAAATTCGGCACTGCAAAACTACGCTTATTTCATATCAGAAACACATGCTGATGAAAGAATAGAGGATAGAGATTCCACAGTGTGTATAATCTGTTTTTATAAGCCCAGACCAGAATTTTTAGTACTCGGTTATAGCGCTTTTTCTTTGTCTCCAGACAAGCGCGATATAATGAGGGGCTACTGTATTGATAAAGATTCAGTTTTTATTTTTAAAACTAAAATATAAATTATTGTTTATTCTATAAGAACATTAAAAACATTAAATATATCGAAATCTTCAAATATCTCATTTACACTAAAGTTTCTAACAGGGTCCCCGTAATCCAGACTGTTATTTAACCAGAGAAATCCCGCAAATTTCTAAAATGGTCAATTTTTTATTATTTTGTGTTAACGTCGAGGATATTTTGCAAATAGAAAGAATAATTAACTCATAAGCTGTCAGAATACATTTATATTTATTAATTTTAAGCCCGTGTATTAGTTTTTTAAATTTTTGCTAGTTATGTCATGTCACAATTGTTAATAATAAATACGTAGCCTATTTGTGGCAAGACTCTGAAATTTCTTTACTTGTCGTAACCTGTAATATCTCGAATAATTGCGCCGATGCTGTCTTAATTTTTAACCATGCCGAATAGCTTCGATAACTGCATTATGCCAGTGTGTGCAAATTGGGCCGTGATACAAACGAGTACAAAGTCTGCAAGTATGAAGTTTTTCTTCATAAACCTGATTATTAAAGCCAAACGAACTGCCGAATTATCGGACTGCAAGATTGATGCCGCTATTAAAGCAACCGAGGTAGACAAATCAAGAATACTTAAGAGCAAAAGAAATACTATAACGCATCTCGAAAACGAACTAGAAATCTTCGAGGCTAAAGGTGAAAAAACACATAATATCTGTCTTCTCTTAAATGCATTAAAGACGATTCCACCCACATCAATTGAATCGGAAAGGGCATTCTCGGTGGCGGAACTTTTAGTTACTAAAATAAGAACCAGATTGAATGATCGGAGTGAACAGAGCGGGGATTGGTTCCTGGGTTAACACGTAACAATGTTTCCCCACAAGAAAATATTTGTGTTTATTTTTCAGGCTGTTTCTTGGCGTTAGAATGAAGGAGAGATAATTTGGATGAATTGCTTCAAAAATACGGGCAAAGATGCAACGCGGTCAAGACTGCAGTTAGATCTGATAAAGAAATGGCTCCAAGAGCAATGTAAGAACATTGAGAAACAATATGAGGAATCCAAAACCAGGGAAGCTTACAAACTGATCAAAAATATAAATCGGAAATGGCAGCCAAGAATGCGATCCATCAAAACACAAATAGAACTGTTCTAATAGACTCTCAAATGTTCTGTGAGTCTATTGGAACTAAAAGAACAGTTAGAACTAATTGAACAGTTCTAATAGAACAGAACTAAACTACACTTCTGTTAGACAATGATGAAATCATGAAAAGATGGATATTGCTCGAAATTATATGAAGATAATTCTGATCCAACCACAACAGAAAAACTCAATAACTAGAGATAACTGCACCATCTAAATCAAAAGATGGTTATGATCGTCAAAGCAGTAGCAGCATCTGCCATCACTAGACTCAAAAATGGGTCCAGGAGATGATGAGATCACAAGTGAAATGCTGGAATATGGAGGAGAACCACTACTAGAAGAGACTCACAATCTGTAAGTTGATCTGGAGGAAAGGTGTGAAATGCCAAAGGAATGGAAGAGAACAATTCTCAATCCTATCTACAAGAAAGGTAATAGACAGGAATGTGACAACTACAAGGGTCACTGTGGAAAATTTAAAAATATCGCCAATTATTTTTAATTTTTTCGCCACCAGTTTTACTTAATTAATGTAGGTGCCGGTAGCCTTATCAGTTTGGTGTCTGGCAAGCAAAAGTAACATGTTAAGCTGTCACTTACAAGGGGAGGGCCAAAAGTTCGGGTCTCCGATTCGAACGAAAGTCTTATTTAAGGCTGTGTGCTCACCAAGCAGCTTTTTGTCCAAATAATAGAACCCAATTTTCAAACATTTCCAAAAAAGTGGCCACCGAAAATTTAGTGTTTAGCTTATGTCTGGAAATTTCATATCCAACAGGGCGATAAACGAGTGAATAAGATGCTGAGCACTGGAGCCAGATTATGTAGGTTCAAACCTTCGAAATTTTAATTTAATTTTTTTACATTTAACATTGTATTATTTTACAGCATCATTAGCATTATTATTACTATTATTATTCCTCGAATTTAAAGCTTATGAAACAAGAGATTAAAAATTGTGATATTTCCCGTTTACGGAAAGCATGTCCCTGTAGATTTAGCTCTTGCGTTCTTACGTTATTAAATAAAATTTTCTTTGTATTTATTTTCAGATATGATGGTTTGTGACATCTGAAGTGTAACAAACACGAGCGTACGAGGAAGTTGTCCATAATATTAACAATTAAAACTGTCTTATTTTCATATCACTTGTCTTCTTCGTCCATGTGCAGTAACGTCCCAAGCTTAATCGCTTGTGAGGTCATATTTTTACGTATTTTTCATACTAAGTGCGAAGAGGCTTGTTTTCGCTAAACAGGAAATGACGTCACAATTTTTCTCTCTTTTATTTATAAGTTTTAAACGTGAGAAGAAAAATAGTTATAATAATGCTAATGATGCGGTAAAACAAACAGTTACACATAAAAACAAACTAAACTAAAACTATAACTCCGAATATTCAGACCTACATCGTCTAGCTTCAGTACCTAGCATCTTATTCACTCGGCTATCGCCGCTTTGGGACGTGAAACTTCCAAAGACTTATAACCTATATACTAAATTTTCAAAGCCCAATTTTTAGAAGCGATTGAGAAGTGGGTCCTGTTATTTGGATAAGAAGTTGTTTGTCTTTAAGGCTACGTGCTTACTAAGTTTCGTTCGAATAGGAGACCCGAACGTCAGGCATTCCCCTTCTTAGCAATAGGAATCATTTTTCAATAATGTTTTAATAAATATTTCCGAATAATACGTTTGATCATAATGTTTAAACAGTATTTTACAGGTTCTGTCATGTCAAAATGTTTGTTTTAGTCTATTGAAAAAAGATCAAAATGAAATAAGTCATCCCAACTCTGAAAACGCAAGGGGGAATTGCACAAAACTGCCTTGGGTTCTCAACGTCACACCCTTCTTTTTCTGCTCGAAATTGCCTTACGTCATGAAATCGCTAGGTGCACAGCACTTCCATTGTACGGAAGCTCGATATTTTGCTGTTTTACCTGAAGCCCGATTTGTAATTCAATTTCACGCCGAATGTTGAAACAGGAGGACTAGAGTTTTTATCGCTACTTAATAAAAATATCGTCAAATGGCGATTTTGGCGCTGTGTAGCGTCACCCCCGAATAACTATATATAAAATAAAAACTTTAAAAAAATCAAGTGATCTATCGTTTTGTGACGGACCGTACGAAGATAAGAGTGGTGATGACGGAGAATAGGATATGGAGTTTTCTTTTGCAATATTTTTTCTTCCGTAATTAGGTTAAGACTGATTGTAACCGCTGGTTAAGCATCATCGAGCAAATGATTGACTTGTTTGTTTAAGCACTGACAAAATGAACAATTTATTATTAATCGAACCAAATAAATTACTAGGAAACACTACAGACAATGGCGACATAAGTCTTTTCCAGATCATACATCCGAAGAAAAAAATACAAATAAGATTTTTATTTTATGTTTAAATAACGTTATTACATTTTATAAGTTTATATCATTATTTTGTCGAGTTATACTGATTTCATAAAACTATAATTCTAATGTAACGCAACAAGTTAAAAATTGTTAGGCGATTATTTATAACAACAACTAATAGTCTTTTATATTAACTCATTATTGATGATTAACGATTTAATTATCAAAATTTATTAATTGCTAATCATTATTGAATATTTAATCATTAATCATCAATAATTCTTTAATATAAAGATAAATTTTATTATTATAACAAAATTTAAAAAAAATAAATTTTAATTACTATTTTTAAATAAAATATGAAGATAGTTACCTTGCTTTCTGTAATGTACGAACTTAAAATAAAGGAAACCGTGTGCGCTATCCAAATAGTAAATATTTCACCTATTATTCTTGGAATTAGACCACTACAAATAAACAATTTCTTAAAAACAATCTCACGATACATAAATAAATATTTTTAAACAAATATGAAAATCATCATCGTGACTTAATACATAGAATATATACTAGGTATTAATTAGGTATTATGGGATACAATATAAGGTAATATTTGATAGTAGGTATTTTCTAAGAAAACTAAAACTGCGCCGAAAAAAAAGGATTTAAACTAGTGTAAAATCGCAGAGATCAATATAAATCGACAGCAGCACTCGATCAGTTTATAGTCTGGCCGAGTTGTTGGTATCTGCAAAAAACCACGTTCGTTGTCGTGGGGTTGCTTTAAACTTAAATAAAAGATTTTCGTGTTTATTTTTGATCATTCCAAACTGTTCTATAGCAAATAATTTGAAATATTTTTGATCTTATATTAGAAATAAATTCTTGTAATTATAGAAAATTGGATGTTTATCATCTTTATCCAAAAATTCATCAGTTATACAATAATAAAATTTATATATAGGCCATATATATATATATATATGATATGATAGCTTTGATGTTTAAAATCGACTCTACATATATAAAATTCGTACTTAACTTAAATAGTCACGAAAATAAAAAATAGAAACGATGATTACGGTAATTTATTTATATGCTGAAAATCTTCCTTTGTACTAGTTTATAAAATCATTAGGAGAACCTCGCCTACCGCGGCTCACTATTCCGCTAGCTTGGCACACTTTGTTCCTAACATAGACTATTCGTATGAAAAATTTCGTGGCGATTCATCGTTTCTGGACGCCACGAAATTTTTCATACGAATAGTCTATGTTAGGAACAAAGTGTGCCAAGCTAGCGGAGTAGTGAGCCGCGGTAGGCGAGGTTCTCCTAATGATTTTATAAACTAGTACAAAAGAAGATTTTCGGTATATAAATAAATTAACCGTAAAGAGTTATTTTCAGTATATTTTACTACCGTTCGTGCCGTTTAAATTGTTCAATGTCGCAGTTTGTATAATAGTTCGATTAATTTAAACAATACTTCAAATGTTTCTAACTGAACTAATATCTACAGATGACTTTAGAGAACTATAAAATGATCCGATAGAGAACATTACGGAATATATGGAAAAGAAAATGAATAAATTATATAAAGAAGGTTTAATAGATAATACTGTATACAGAAACAAAGGATACTTAGTTTTAATTAAGTAGAATACAAGAATAAACAAAAACACACAAAACAGGTGAGATTTTAAAAATTCACCATTACGTAATTTAGAAATTTTGTAAGAAAAAAATTAACACTTATTAATAAATCATATTTCAATATAAAAACGCAAACACGTTATCAATAGAATGAAAAAGAATAAAAATAACATCAACATGCCGAATTATGAGTCTAACATGCAATATCCGTGTATCCGTCTATAATCCGGACACAAATATAAAAAGCGTTGTCGAATAATAATCTACAATGGATTATAGAATTAATAGAATATTCAAACAGAAACAAGCATAGAAACAATCATAGGCCGAAAAAAGCCGAAATTTCAATTATTGAAATAGATAAAAAAAAGTATTGTATTAAGAATCAAGAAGGAACTGTTTTTACGTAACGTACAATACATGTATGTGGACGATATTTTCTTTATATGATTCACAGATAATAGGTTATATATAAAATGATCATAAATATAGCTAATAATTGTCATAAAATAATAATAAAGTCTTATAAATAATATATCTTTTATCTTTAATATGTGTCAAAATAAAACACAGTACACCCTCGTTATATCGCATTTTTATTTGATCTCCCAAATGTTCGAAGCATTCCAGTCAATAAATTTTAAATTACCGATTGCCATTGAATTTCTTTTTTGTAACGAAATACGGTGTTTTATTCCTACCATTTGCCCTGCAAATTACCACTGCAGGTGAAACAAATAATTCGTCACTGTATTTATAATTTCTATTGAAAAATATAAATTACACGAATTTTTAATAAGAGATTTATTACGAAATATAGCCTAATACTGTATAATAAAAACGCAACTGATATTTTGTTTTTATATCGACAGTGTTTGTTTGTCTTTAAATGTCATTGTTAAAGAAACAATACCTGTAGTGCTAAATGGACGTTGGTGGCATCGATGTTTACGTAAACATAATCTAATACGATGTAATCATGAATAAAATTCGGCACTGCAAAACTACGCTTATTTCATATCAGAAACACATGCTGATGAAAGAATAGAGGATAGAGATTCCACAGTGTGTATAATCTGTTTTTATAAGCCCAGACCAGAATTTTTAGTACTCGGTTATAGCGCTTTTTCTTTGTCTCCAGACAAGCGCGATATAATGAGGGGCTACTGTATTGATAAAGATTCAGTTTTTATTTTTAAAACTAAAATATAAATTATTGTTTATTCTATAAGAACATTAAAAACATTAAATATATCGAAATCTTCAAATATCTCATTTACACTAAAGTTTCTAACAGGGTCCCCGTAATCCAGACTGTTATTTAACCAGAGAAATCCCGCAAATTTCTAAAATGGTCAATTTTTTATTATTTTGTGTTAACGTCGAGGATATTTTGCAAATAGAAAGAATAATTAACTCATAAGCTGTCAGAATACATTTATATTTATTAATTTTAAGCCCGTGTATTAGTTTTTTAAATTTTTGCTAGTTATGTCATGTCACAATTGTTAATAATAAATACGTAGCCTATTTGTGGCAAGACTCTGAAATTTCTTTACTTGTCGTAACCTGTAATATCTCGAATAATTGCGCCGATGCTGTCTTAATTTTTAACCATGCCGAATAGCTTCGATAACTGCATTATGCCAGTGTGTGCAAATTGGGCCGTGATACAAACGAGTACAAAGTCTGCAAGTATGAAGTTTTTCTTCATAAACCTGATTATTAAAGCCAAACGAACTGCCGAATTATCGGACTGCAAGATTGATGCCGCTATTAAAGCAACCGAGGTAGACAAATCAAGAATACTTAAGAGCAAAAGAAATACTATAACGCATCTCGAAAACGAACTAGAAATCTTCGAGGCTAAAGGTGAAAAAACACATAATATCTGTCTTCTCTTAAATGCATTAAAGACGATTCCACCCACATCAATTGAATCGGAAAGGGCATTCTCGGTGGCGGAACTTTTAGTTACTAAAATAAGAACCAGATTGAATGATCGGAGTGAACAGAGCGGGGATTGGTTCCTGGGTTAACACGTAACAATGTTTCCCCACAAGAAAATATTTGTGTTTATTTTTCAGGCTGTTTCTTGGCGTTAGAATGAAGGAGAGATAATTTGGATGAATTGCTTCAAAAATACGGGCAAAGATGCAACGCGGTCAAGACTGCAGTTAGATCTGATAAAGAAATGGCTCCAAGAGCAATGTAAGAACATTGAGAAACAATATGAGGAATCCAAAACCAGGGAAGCTTACAAACTGATCAAAAATATAAATCGGAAATGGCAGCCAAGAATGCGATCCATCAAAACACAAATAGAANATTTTTTTTATTCTCGGCAACTACAACATTTGGTAATATATAATACAAAATTTAATTCTTGAAAAAACGTTTTTAAAAACAAGAAAATTTAATATTTTAAAATTATATGTAAATGCACCATCTTGCCTCACCCATGGGATAAGATGGGGATATTATTTTTATATACAAGGACAAATTAAAATGGTTAAACCAGTGTTTCCCAACCTTTTTTGTGCTATGCCCCACCTAAGCCATTTTAAAATTCTTATGTCCCCCCCTAACATATACAGCAGCTATACGGTTAATAACTTAAACTTTGGGCAAGTTCACTTTTGAATTGCCCCTCTTAACAATCGAATTGCCCCGTGAGGCGTGGGCCCCACATTGGGAAACACTGGGTTAAACTGTCGTTTTCTTCAATATTGGCACAAGAACAGTGGGTCCATTTATCACAACGGCTACATTTAGCCCAACTCTCTGTAGATAGAGTAGCCTATAACCCCTCCACAATAGAGGCATTCTGTGTCATTTGTCTTTTGTTTTTTTAGGTCTACCCTTGCTGAAGGGGCCTGTTTGTCGTCTCTGCAGCAATAAAGTCTGCCTCCAAAAATACTTATGGATTCATAGGCCGTATTCATGGTCAACCTGGGGCTAGACGGGTACCCCATCTTGCCCCCAACGTACACTTTTCATACTGACTGCAAACACAGGTAAACTTCATTTCAAAACTAAACAACTACAGTGTTAAAGGTTACTTCGAATACCATGATATCTTCATGTAAAAGATAATGTAAAAGTTCACAATGATACTTAATTTGTAGAAACTTTGTAGCGGGCGACAAGATGAAGTATTGCTGAAACATGGAAAAACTGTGTTACTTCCAAACAGAGAGAGAGCGATTCGGACGTTCTCTCATCCCATGATCCCTTTTGAAGTTGACATTTAGTTCCCCAAATAACAGCTAGATAAAATCACATTAACCACAAATAAACAGACGTCCCCGTCTTACCCCATCTTGCACCACCTTCCCCTACATATAGTCGGTCGGCGAATTTTTTACTCGACGGGGAGTCACTGCCGTGACTCTCGATATTTAAGTTCAGGAAATTTGAAAAATCTTATAACGTTTGGAAAACCACAAATTATCGTTCATATTGGCCGAATTACACAAAAAGAAATATATTTAACACGTTAACAACCACCATTAAAAAATTTTCGTATATTGTCTTTTTCCTATAGATTTGTTTTTTCATATCAGAAAATCCGAATTTGTTATTTGAATTGATTTTTTTTAAAATACTTGTGCTAATTTTGAAAGTTTTGTTTGAGCCTATATGCATGCCCCAANGTCGAATAAAATGACTTAAACTTGATTTTTATTTTTCCGTATACTTTTTTGACAAACGACGTATAATCGGGAACGACGTAAGTCGAGGTATACCTGTACTTGTGCTAATTTTGAAAGTTTTGTTTGAGCCTATATGCATGCCCCAAGGCTTAGACCAG